GAAAGAAAGAAAGAAAGAAAGAAAGAAAAAGAAAGAAAGAAAGAAAGAAAGAAAGAAAGAAAGAAAGAAAGAAAGGAAGGAAGGAAGGAAGGAAGGAAGGAAAAAAATCCAATTAGCATATTCTTGAGAGAACAATTTAGAGTTGACCACAACTAAATACAGACATCAGAAAATAAAAACCACTTTTGTCTAAAAGTCTGTCTTTGTGAGTCTCAAAAATAATTAGATTTTGATATGTATATTTATGTTTAATAATAAGCTAAAAATAGAATTTTTTAATGTTACACTTTGTCTTTATGTTGAAATTAATTTTAGAAAGAGTAGGTAAAGAAATACTAAGAAACAGCATTCTCATTAGCAATCATAATCAAAAGGCCTTGGTCACTGATGTTAATTACAAATTAAGAGTTGGTGACGGTCACACAATCATTAGGTGCTGATCCATTCAGTGGCTGGAGTTATAACTGGAAATAATATTCTGTGGATCCTTAGAGAGCCAGTATTTTATCAGATAGAGGTATATTATATGGCTAGCTAGAAGATAGTACTTTGGGCCTTGCAAATGATCTCATCCTGACCTCCCTGGGATGCCTAGAGTACTGGGATTAGTTGGTAAGACTAGGTGATCCACAGCCCATGGTGGTCTGTTTGCCCTCCAGGGTGGAAGCTCTGAAATAGTGTATCTGTCTGAGAGAATTGGTATGTTAGAAGTTGTGATTGTGACCACTGTTAGGAACGTCTGGAGCAATCAGTTGTGTTTAGAGTGTGTGTTTAGAGTAGTCACTTTCGGTGTACAGACCCATCCTCCTCCTGAGCATCAGTGTCCAGAGTAGCCTGTGTGTTATTATGGCCAATGCATCAGTCTCAGTTAATGTGCATGAGGGCTCAGTATATCCCAGCCATCAAGTTGGGAGAACTCTCCAAAAAGTCTTTTCTTTATTCCCAAATCACCTTCTAAATTTATATGAAGACTAATTTCCAGTTAGGAATGCAGCTGTTATCCAGGAGAGGATATTAGAAGTGGGCTCATATCCCCTTTCCTGTTTTTAGTGTGGGGGCAGGAAGTGGGGTTCCACCCAGAACTCATACTAGGCTAAATAAGAGTCCTGAAAATGGCATGAATGCATAATATGTCCTAAGCACTTGCTAGGTACTAGGGATTTCAAGGGAACCAGATAGAAATGGGGTCTGTGCATTCAAGGACACGACACTCTACCTTCTTTCTATTTTTTTTTAATTTTTTATTGTTATGTTAATCACCATACATTACATCATTAGTTTTTGATGTAGTGTTCCATGATTCATTGTGCATAACACCCAGTGCTCCACGCAGAACGTGCCCTCTTTAATACCCATCACCAGGCTAACCCATCCCCCCACCCCTCTCCCCTCTAGAAACCTCAGTTTGTTTTTCTTCCTTCTTTCTAAAACAGTCTTTCCTCCCTCACCTAAATAAACTTGTTTACAAATGACTCTTTACCTGTATTTACTCCCCCACAAAAATGAAAGCTTGGTGAAGGCAGAATTCATCTGCTGAATTCCCAGGCCGTGCCAAAGAGCTTGGCATAGAGTATGTGTTCAGTATATTTCAGTTGACTGTGTTGTAATAAATATGAAGGTTGGCTGGGTTAGAATAGGAGCCACTTGAGGGGGCACTCATTGTACCTTGTTCAGTTTTATATCTCCGAAATCTAGCACATCTCTGGCACGTAGTAAATAGTCAGTATTTTTTCACAGAGTTGAATTAAGTTTAATCAGATCAAGTTAATTGTTCAGAATACATTGACTCAGATATACCAGTAACTTGAAATCAAGTTTCATAAAACATTATTGCAAGAATTGGAAATGTTTCATATGGAAAAGACAAGACTTGGGAAGGACATGTGCTTGTCTTCAAATATATGAGAGACTGATAAAGAAGAGAGACACTGGGCTTGTTGTGTCTGTCCCAAAATAAAATAGACTGTAGCACTGAATTAGGGAGAACTATCAGATTTAGTACATTACTGACAAGAGCAATGTGTTGCCTATCACTGGAGATGCCCAAGCAAAGTCTAGGGATGTGGTAGACAAAATTTAACACTGATATGGATAGTCGATATAAGTGCCTGACAACTGAGATTCCATGGTTTTTCTAGAGAAGTACAAACTAAGATATTTCTTCAGTCCTTTATGATTTTACAAAGGGTGTTCTGGAGGAAAATTATCTCTACCTTTCTCACAAGAAGGTTGTGCTTACACCTAATAATTGGATTGCTTTATACTGTACAAGTGGCTTTCATATAATCCTTGCAGAGATTCTTTGAATAGGTAGACCAAGTATTATTATTTCCATTTTACATGAAAGAAGACAGGTGTTATATAGATTAACTCATTTGTCCAAGGTCACACATGTGGTAATTGATGTAAATAGAACTTGAGCCCGGGTCTCTGTGGCTTCTTCCTCAGAGCTGTCTACTACATCATGCCACTTCTGTTATGACCGAGATGAGAGACGAAAAGTCAGAACCTCCTTCTTAAATACTAACACAGATCTCTTACAGAAGAACTCTGACAAGGCCTCTGTAATTTATAGTTAGCCCCTGATTTTAAGTGGCATGATCAAGAGCAGTGGACAAAGAGAAACAAGATCCGGTTAAGAACACAGGGCTCTGGTATCCTATGTTGCTGTTTGCCTCACAGAATCTGACTGTTTTTCCTGGGAAGGAATTATAATGATGCTTTTATGTTCCCGGCCAGGAAATGTTTATAAATCATAATGTACCATTTGCAAGTGATGTTACCTTATGAATATTAAAAGATTAGGAAATGACATTGGCTTTTGTTGAAAACCTTGAGTGACCCTGTAAGCAGACACAATAAATGATTGCTTTTATTGCAGTGCCCTCTAAATATTATTAAAACTCTTTATAGTAGGCAATAAATAATGGCAAACGAATGCTTGATTTATAGCAATTACAGTACAGATGAGTTGGATTCATGTGCTGCACTGTAATGAAGATAATAGCTCAAAACACACGAGAAACAGTCACTCAGTGAAATATGAGCTGATTTGCATGATCCATGTCCCTTGAGTAACCTGTAATTGGCTATTATGAAATGGACTAAGAATGATTTGGTCTGCAAATAAGAGAAGTGGTACCAAATTACCATATAATCTGTGTGGGTATCTTTTATTTTCAACACCAAACTATTTTTGTGGCTCATCGGATCTGTGCTCTTACATCTAACACTTGTGAGTGTTCAACAGCCGAGGACTGTTCTTCTCTGATTCCTCTGAAAATGTTTTCTTTGACGATTACTATCACTTCAACTTTATTCATAGGAAACATACAAACTTGCTTTATTTTAGCTTCCTGAGGCACCACATTCTTTCTTCGTATCCCTTTTAAGAATAGATTTTGGGAGTGAGCCTGAAATAGCATCATGGAATTCTTAAACAAAGGGATTCAGAGCATACATGTGACTTATTTTATTCAGCAAAGTACATTTAGTTAACTCATGTTAATATTTTAGATCTCAGGAAATTTCTAACAGTACTTGACTTTGACTTTCCCAGTTTTTGTTTTTGTTTTTGTTTTTGTTTTTGTAATATTTGCCTAAGTCTCCCTTTGACTCCTCCCAATAGAAAACCTCACCAAAATGATGATAATCCACATGAAACTTTTCTTTTTTTCATAGAATAAGCTGCCATTTTTGAAAGGCACTGAAGGGAGCTGTGCCAAAACAGTATTTCATGCCTAGACCGTCTGTCACGCTCCTGAAATCTCATTCTCATTATCACACAAATAACCCAAGGGATAGAGCTAGTCCCACTGGCAAGGGGGATCATCAATGTTTATCCTAAGCTGCTGTTACAGTGGCCATAATGGGAAAAGGTATACCATAATTAAGAGCTATAGCCAACTAATTAAGTCAAATTACATCTAATTATAAATCCAATAATCTATGCCAAAACTAGTTGTTGATAGCTAAGGGAAAAATATACAGTTTTAATTAACCTTCATTATGGATTGGTGTTTAAAGACATTTTTTTAACTCAAAAATATGGTTTTTTACAAAATAATTGCTATGGTTCTCTTCTATCTAATACTTTGATTTAGGAATCGGACAACTAAAAAAATAGAAAGTCATTTTAGCAAAGAAAAATTGGCCTTTAAAATTTATAAATTATGTTAATTATTAAATATTCCTAGAAAATTTGAAAGAAAATTATAAGAAATACTGGTGCTGGATAATTATTTAATGCACTATAATAAAATCTCCCTAAAACAAATTAAGAAGGCTATATAAAAATTGGAAATGGCCAACAGTGGACTTATTAAATAATAAGATGGAAAATAAGGTGCACATAATGAGAAAAAGTGAAGCTATGTAGTCTCCACATTAACTTAACTAGGGACAAATTAATAACTGTCTTCAAATAAATGAAAAGTAGAAATAAGGAAATAAGAAAACTGCTGACAAGCAGTTTTGATTATTCATCCTGAATCTGAACAAAAGTACATTAAAAACATTAGTTTAACATAAGGAACTTACTAATCATAAAGATGGTTAGTGTTACATAATCTGCAAAAAGCTATGGAGTTTTATCTCCGGATATCTTTAAAAATAATGTATGTGTATATATACATATACATATACATGTATATGCACATGTGAATATAAATAATAGCCCTAAATGTCTCTCTCTCCTAGTGTTGCTTGATAATTGAAAGAAAAAATCTATAGAAATTTTTAATTTTAAACTTAAAATAATTTCAAGAAAATAAAAATTTCTCTTTGGCTTATGGTGTATTCATTTAGGGATAAATCCATTTTGAAATACAAGTGCATGAGCCTACCTTCTTCTAGGTAAA